CCATAGTTTTCTAATCCCCCCCAACCCCCAGCAGCCACCAACTCTGCAGAGTGACTGCCCAATTCAAAACAGTCCTCCATGGCAGGTGCGCAGCCACCAGAGTATTACACCCAAGACCCCCAGAGAGAAAGGTTCCTGATTAGGAAGGGGAAAGGGAGAGGGTGTAGAGGGCAGGAACTGTGAGGTCTACAGGCGAGATGAGGAGAAGACCCTGTGCCCACATCACAGGAGCTGACCCCAAAGGAGATCCTGGAGGTGCAGTCTCCCAACGAGACGGGCAGGGGCCATACCCCATTCCAGGCGCCCTGTACCCAAGACCAACGCTCACACCCTGGTAACCCCCACCATCCTGAGGGCAGAGATACCTGTTAACAACAGATGACCCCACCTGTTGGATGAGAGGGAAGAGGAAAGACTGATCTCCAACCAAAACAATCCTTGTTCCTTCCTTCTAGACTTTTTTTTCTTTCTTCTTCCTCTTTATTCGCCCCTCTCACATCCCCAACATGAGAAACCAGGTACTTTGCATGAATGAGGATATTGAGGACTGAGACAACTGAGTAGCACTTGTGTTGTATATACCTTTTATCCTTTTATTGTTTTTTTTCTATTTTTTCTTTCCAATTTTTACTATTTAACCTTTTTTATTTTTATTAATATATTGTGTGTTTGGTTTATGTACTCAACTGTCTTCCCTCTTACTTGCCTACCCAAAATTACGACTTCTCTATTCTCCTGCTACTAACCTTCTTCTTCAGTCTCCTCCATCACACTTCCTAAGTCACAGTAGCTCTGTATCCTCACCTCCTACCTCCTCAGCATATCTTCCCACACCTCATCCCTGGTTCTGGGTCCACCATCAGAAACTGTAAACTCTTTTACGAATCTACTGATTATATTGTAGATAATAACTGAATTCTCCATTTCTGTACATTGACCAAACTGTAAACATCTCAATAACAACTATTTGCTTTTAGGTGGTGTATTGTTTATATTGGGATCTGATAACACTGTCCTTCACCTCAAAGGAGAAGTATTGGATCCCTACAGGGGTACTATAATCCTATAGGGTAAAAACAGTCATGCCTCGGATCCACAGAGCTAGAAGGGAAGACACACAAGCAACATGAAAAGACAAGGGAAGAAAGTGTGCCAAACAAGTCACATTATTAGAATCCATGGCCAGCACAGCAGATGAAATTACAGAGAAGGTGTTCAGGATGGCATGATTAAAATGTTCTGTGAATTAAGGATGGAATAAGAGAGTAAACACAGGCATCAAAAGATCATTTCGACAAAGAGCTACATACACAAAAACAAGAAGCAAAAGATTCCTTCAATAGGGAGACAGGGGTTCTAAAGAAAAACCAAACAAATCCTTGAAATGAAAGAAACAATAAACAGAATTAAAAGTTTAATTGAAAGCATCACCAACAGATCAGACCACTTGGAAGACTGGACCTCAGACAATGAAGACAAAATATATAATCTCGAAAAGAATGTAGACAGCACAGTGAAATGGTAAGAAAACATAAGCAGAACATTCAAGAAATATAGGATAGCATAAAAAGACCAAATTTAGGAGTTATTGGGATAGAGGAGGGAATAGAGTTCCAAACCAAAGGATGAACAATGAAATATTATCAGAAAATTTTCCAAACAGGAAGAACAAATTGGAAAACCAAATTCAAGAGCCTTACAGGACACCAAGTGTTCAAAATCACAACAGATTCACACCAAGGCACAATAATGAAAATGCCTAACACACAGAATAAGGAGAGAATATTAAAAGCCACAAGAGAAAGGAATCAGATCACATATAGTGGGAAACCAATTAGGTTATGTGCAGATTTTTCAACCTGGACCCTGAAAGCTACAGGATCCTGGAACAACATACATCAAGCTCTGAAAGAAAATGGATGCCAACCAAGAATACTGTATCTAGCCAAATTAAGCTTTAGATTTGAAGATGAAATAAAAACCTTCCATGATACACAACAGTTAAAAGAATTTACAGCTAGAAAACCTGCACTGCAGAATATCCTTGCCAAAATATCCTTTGAAGAGGAAATGAAAAAACAACAATGAAAATCAGCAGAAGGAGGTATTACACTAAAGGAAAAGCTAATCAAAGGAGAAACCAAGTCAAATTAAATAACAAAAATTTCTGGGAATACAAATCATGTCTCAATAATAACCCTGAATGTTAATGGCCTAAACTCATCAATCAAAAGACATAGGCTAGCTGATTGGATTTAAAAAAAAAAAAAACAATATGCTGTCTCCAAGAGACTCATTTCATAGGAAAAGACACACACAGACTGAAGGTGAAAGGTTGGGAAAAATCATACCACTCACATGGACTGCGGAAGCAAGCAGGGTTTCCATCCTCGTATCAAATAAAGTAGACTTTAAGCTAAAGTTAATCAAAAAGGACAAAGAAGGACATTTCATACTGCTCAAGCGATCCATACACCAACAAGAGTTAACAAATATATATATATATATATTTGTTAAGATATATATATCCCCCAAACAATGGAGCATCTGTGTTCATCAAACAAACTCTTCTCAAGTTCAAGAGTCAAATAGACCACAACACAATAATTCTGGGTGACTTTAAAACACCTCTTTCACCACTGGATAGATCTTCCAAACAAAAGCTGAACAAAAAAACTTATAGAACTCAATAATGCAATCAATAACTTAGACTTAACTGATTTTCATCCTTCAACAAGTGAACACACTTTCTTCTCAGCAGCTCGTGGATCCTTCTCTAAAGTAGACCACATATTATGCCACAAAGCAATTCTTAACAAATACAAAAAAGTAGAGATGCTACCCAACATTATATCAGAAAACAATGGAATGAAATTAGAATCAATGATAAAATAAAAACTACTCCTACACCTGGAGACTAAATAATGTGCTACTGAATGAACAATGGGTTGTAGAAGATATCAAGGAAGAGATTGAAAATAGAGGTAAAATGAGAACACTAATATAACATATAGAAATCTCTGGGACTCCATGAAGACAGTACTGAGAGGAAAGTTCATTGCATGGAGTTCATTTCTTCAAAGAAGAAAAAGTCAACAAATAAATGACCTAACATTACATCTCAAAGCCCTAGAAAAAGAAGAACAAATGAACACCAAAAGCAGAAGAAGACAGAAAATAATTAAAATCAGAGCTGAAATCAATGAAATTGAAACAAAAGAAACATTTGAAAAAAGTTGACAAAACAAAAAGTTGGTTCTTCAAAAAAATTAAATAAAATTGACAAACCTTTAGCCATCCTAACAAAGAGGAGAGAGAAAACTCAAATAACTAACACACGTGATGAAAAAGGAAATATCACAACAGACACTACAGAAATACAAAAGATAATTAGAAATTATTTTGAAAACTTTTACTCTAATAAAATAGAGAATATTGAAGGCATCAACAAATTTCTAGAGGCATATGAGTTGGCCAAATTGAATCAGGATGGTATACACAATTTCAACAGATCAATTTCAAGCAAGAAAATAGAAGACACCATCAGAAACCTACTGACAAAGAAAAGCCCAGCACCAGATGGATACACAGCCGAGTTCTACAAGGCCTATAAAGAAGAACTCATACCAATACTCTACAAATTATTCTGTGATATAGAAAAAGAGGGAGCACTTCCAACTCATCGTATGAGGCCAATATCACCTTGATTCCAAAACCAGGCAAAGATACATTAAAGAAAGAAAACTTCAGACCAAGGTCTCTGAAGACTCGAATGGTGTGAATATACTTCATATACATCCAGAGACATGAAAATTGTGCTCTATACGTGTAATATGAATTGTAATGCATTCTGCCGTCATATATAACAAATTAGAATAAAATTAAAAAAAAAAAAAGGAGTGAAGTCACAGAACTCTGGAATAGGAGCTGAGGGTTTTGAGCCCTGACACAGCCAGGCCTGCCCTCAGAGCTTTCTGCAGATTCTCTCCACACAGGGACCCTCATGTGCCCATTTTACAGGTGGGGAAACAGGACCACAGAGCCAGTAAGCCAGTTGTCCCCAGTGGGTAGAGCCCAGTCTGACCGCAGAGCCCAGAGTGCTGATTGCACTTGTGAGCTTGGGACCAAAATCCCTTCTGATGCATCAAATAAAACCCAAGAACGGTAGTGAAAAATATCAATAAAGTTTTCATAAACTTAAATTTCTGTTCAGTCCAAAATAAGTGGGAAGAGCACTGAAGAGTTAGGAGGAACAAGTTCATGACACAGGTAAGAGACAAAGGGTTAATGTCACTACGGCTCCATACGGTCCTGCAAATCAACTTTAGAAACTCCCCTGAATAAGAGAATCACAAAGCACTAAGGGACAGGCCACTCTCTAAAGAAAAAGCAGAAAATGTTAGAAATAAACCAGGGAGTGGTCTTCAGGCTGCGGTGGGCCTGCAGGGGAGGGGGTCTCTGGTCAGATACATCCCAGAAACGCCAGATTAAGTAAAATGAAGCCGGCTGTACACCCTAAGGCGTGTCAGAACCATTAGTATGTGGAGAGCCACTGGGTTCTACAGGAAGAACGTGGAACGGAACGTTCCAAATTCTCATCTAACCATAGAACTTTTTCCTACAGAGTTTGTCACAGGCCTGAGGGACAGAACAAACTTCTTTAACTCACGAACTTCTAAGGCCCCCATTTAATGAGACTGCCTAATACAGGTGTCCTAAATTAAACAGGGCCTATTCCATGTCCCCCTCCTCCTAGGGTATCCTGAAGCATCCTAGTGCTCGAGACACAGCTCTGAGACAGCCAGCCAGATGCTGGATTCTAGCTCTCCTCCCCTCCGCTTCTGTACCCTGGGCCGGTGCCTGGGGGTGACAGTAGGCGGTGTCTTCATCCAGCTGGCTTCAACGTTGTGATGGGTCAGTACAGTCTCCTTGTTTCCTCGGCAGCAGGCTCGGGCTCAGTGCCCTCCCACCCCTCTGCTTGGGGCCAGCCTGGCACCCACCTGACTCGTCCTGGGCATGTCCCTGGAGTGCCATGAGCAGTGCTGTTAGAAGCTGGAGCATCTTCTTGTCATTCCAGAACTATCCAACTTCACCTCCAGGCCAGGCTGACGCCAAGTCAGCGGTGGCAGCTGCAAGCGGGCATCACAAATGCATGGCAGAGCTGACCTTGGTGACGTCACAGTAAACACTGGGCTAGGGTGGAGGCAGCAGGTTCAGGTGCGGGTCAGTGGGGCTCAGCCCAGCCCCATGCTCCCCTGTCCAGCGCTCCCTCCCCAGCAGGGGCTGGAGGAGAGCCCCAGGAGGCCAGGTGGGGCCAAATCCATCTGCGTGCTCCGTTCTCTCGCCCCCCCCATTCTGATCAACTTAAGGAGCCACGGGTTCTGCTCTGTGCTGTGATAGTGAAGAGCTGTGGGTCGTTGGACAAGTTTTCATATTCTCTGAAACCAGGTGTCAAAAGCCAATACACCTTGTTAGGAGATCTAGCCTCAACTGAGGCTCAGTGGAGGGGAAGGGGTAGAACGAAAGGGGGTTGTTTGGTGGAGCTTGCATTAAAAGATTGGGCATAACATGAGGGGGCTGTTAGGGAGGGTGAAATGAGAAAGGAGAATATCATGTGGTGACAACCTGGCTCTAGTGAGGCAGCTAAGAAGAGACGCTGTTGGCCTGAGGTCGGAAACAGCGGGATGGGGGGAGAAGGGAGAGGCCGAGACAGAGGTGGCCGCCGGCTGTGCCGGACAGTGAGCAGACACTGTCAGAGCAGCCTGAACTGGACAGTCATCTGTCTCTGAGGACACGAGATGGAGGAGAGGCCCGGGGCCAGGGTATGCGGAGGCCGAGGGAGAATCCTCCTCAGTACGGATTCATTTTCTGTCTCTTCCACTAGACTAAGGCGAGGGCAAGGGCTTTTCCTCTTGTGGGCTCTGCCCAGCCTGCTCTGTTGGACAAGATTTGCGTCCAGTCCCGAGCTCAGCGAGAAGCTGTTATAGCCACTGACTGTGACTATCATGAGAACCCCTGCTGGGGACCAGGAGGAGCTGGGGGTGAGACACGGCACCTGCCCCTGAGACAGTGACACTGGGCTGTGTTGGGCACAGCTCGGCAGGCTGCCACAGTGCTACTCAGCAAACCGCTAGCTGCAAGTCAGACCCTTCCCAGGTGGTGGCAGGGCAGGGATGGGGACAGCGGTTGGGCATGGCACCGTGATCAGACCCGGCTGGGTCATCTCCTGCTGACCTTTGCCACCCGGTAAGATAGTTTGTCCTGCCCAGGTCGGCTTGTGCTGTGGAAATCGTGCTCAGCAAGAGACCCAGCACCACTCGAGGGTTGGAGAAGTCAGGTTTATGGCGCCGCTGGATCCAGCTGAGCCAGTGGTGGCTTCTGAAGTTCTGGGCCCAGAGCTGAGGTCACATGGAGCTTTCAGAGGAAATCGGATGTCATTCCTTGCCTAGGACAGTATTGGCAGGCTTGATTCTTGGGCCACAGGAGCACAGACCATGAGCAGAAAATCTTATTTATTGAAGCAGAACAAAGGCAGAGGAGAATCTGCAAGGGATGTCGGGAAGTGGCCTTTGTCACAGGGAGGTGTTTCTCAAGGTCCCAGGAGCTTACACTCCCCAGGGTGTGAATTATAGCATAGAAATGTTACGGTTTAAGCCAGTGTTGAAACAACACTCTCACAGAGACCAGCAATTAAGTAACTCCTGGGAAGACCCAGCCACCGAGTGCTGTTTCCCTCTTCACTTGGACTCCTGGCTCCTCTGAGGTCCGGCTGGACAGAGGCTTCTCTGATCCCTCTGGGTAACAGTGCTGCAGTCACTGAGTCCAAACCCGTTGGCGCTCCACCCTGGTCACACTCTGCTTCAGCTTCCTGTGGAATGAACCACAAAGTGCTGGGGGCAGGGAGTGTTGCCCTCTGGGCGGGTCTGGAGGAGACGGGCACCCTGCACCAGCATGAGGCCAAGCCTGGGCGCTGGCCAGAGTCCTGAGCAGGAAGGAAGAGGGTCACTGGACCCCGCGGGCCTCGTGCTGGAGAGGCCCAGCCGCGGGGCCCACTGACAGGCTCGTGGAGGGGAAGCCTGGGAGCCTTAAAGAAGGATGGGGCGTGACGGCCCAAAGTGCCCAGGGTGGGCTGGGGGAGGTAGGACGCCAGGTCAGCAGGGAGCCCAGCGGGCTGGGAGGGAGGCTCAGACCAGAGAGCCCTCTGTGAACCACTTTAGAACCCAAACAGGTAGCGAGAAGCTCCTGACCTCAGCCTCAGCCCATTGTGACGTCGCCAGCAGGGCTGGTTCCCCACGGCCAGCGCCACCGCCTCCGCCTGGCCTCCTCCACCTCCCAGCCCACAGCCCGCCCAGGCCCATGCTTCTCTTCTCAGTTGTGCTGCTCATTACCCACGCCACGGGGGCGGACCCAGGTATGTGGGCTCCTCCCCGGGCCAGAGCAGCCGACCCAGCGGGCACTGGGGTGGGGACAAGTGCCCTGCTCACCTCCTCATCCAGTCCCAGTGAGCATTAGGGGCAGGAAAGAGCCGGACACGGGCTTGTAATTAGCCAACTCGTCAGGGAGGCCCTTCCAGGAGAGCCCAAGAGGGTGACTTGATGTGCTCCCTGTCACCCTCCTTGGGGCCACGTGTCTTTCTTCCTGTTCCCCAGCCCAGAGTTTGACAATCTGACCTTTAGCTTTGGTTTTGAAACTCAAGACTTTACCCTAGAAGGCATAATGGAGAGCCCAGAAGCATGTGTCCGAAAGTAACCGAGCCTCAGGTTCAGACCAGGGTGAGGAGCTTCCCGGGACCTGCCAGCAGAAGGCAAGAGGGGCTCAGCACGTCAAGCTAAGGCTGCTTCTGGTCTCAGTGTGCTCCTCACGGCTCCAGAGGGGTGGCTCCCCCTCCGAGAGGTGGCCAGGGCTGGAAGGGACCTGGGTTACTTAGCAGCAGCAGCTCTGGGCCAAGGACTAGGTGGAAGCTGCCCACCGTGGGGGAGTTTCTGCTCTCAGCCTAAGTGTGGGTGGGAGCCAGCCTCCAAGGTCGAGGAGCCGCCCAAGGTCACTCTGCAGGAACTTGGTAGGGCTGATGGCAGCAGCCAGCCTGCTGTGCCAGTCCCTCCCTCCCTCTGCCCACTAGCTCTTGCACACCTGGCCTCCTGCCAGCTGTCCTCAGGTGGGCACAGGGAGGAGTGTGGGGGAGAGGGGTGTGGGCAGATCCTCTGAAGAGCCCCCCAAGTGCATGCTCATTCCCAGCCCTGCTCCCCATCTGCTGCCTTCACTGCCACCCGGCTTTATGCTTTGCTTTAACCCAAAGAACTTGGGTTGCACGGTTGGACCCTGGTGCTGCTGTTCTCAGGACCAAGGATGGGCCCAGCTGCCCGTCCCTGGGGACTGGGAGAAAGGAGAGGAGAAATTCTGACAGCTAAGATGGCTCAAGGACTCCTCCCTCCGCTCCAGCCCTGTGGGCGCTTCATCAGCCTGGCTCCATCTGAGTGTGCATCTCGTAGGTGGAGAGATTCTCCTGCCCATTTCAGGAGTGGAGAGGGGATAAGAAGGGACGGCTGCTTCCCTCAGATCATGTATGACAGGGCCAGGGTCAGACTCGGGGGTCTGCCCCAGGGCCACACTCTCAGCAGGTGCCGCAGCCTCGTCTCAGAAAGAGGAGCCCCCTGCAGTCACCCATGGGCCCTGGAGCCCACCCCACTCAGGGATCCTGACTGTGGTTCCTCCCACGCGTGGATGTCCAGATGTTTAACACGGTGAAATCACAAGTTCTAAAGATGATTTTGACCCTGACTTTTCTGCTCAACTGTTTATCCCAAGCCTTTCCCCACATCATTAAAATCCCCCACGAGCACCACCTTCCAGCCGAGGAGTCGCGGACGACACGGGTGGACATGCGGGTTATCCACCTAACACGGGTCGCTCTCAGTTTGTCACTGTCAGGTCGCGGCAGTGCACACCGTCCAACACGGATGGCCGGGCCCGGGGGTGAGTGACCATGAGGGCTCCTGGAGCCAAGGCTCCCTCATCGTTGGACATCCTCTTCCCGCCCTGGGACCAGCGTCACCACGGCAGGCCTGCTGCTGTCTCCAGGCAGAGCTCTGGCATCAGTCAGGCCAGGGGACCCCGGTGACCCAGCGCCATGATGGTGCATGAAGAAATGTAATGCTGGGCAGGAGACAGAGTAGCCAGGATGGAGGGGTTGGCTTGGCCTCCTTAAAGGAGCAACTCTTAGGCCAAGGCGGGGATGAGGTGAGGGAGTGAGCCAGGCACCCGGGAAGAGAACCTTACAGGCACACAGCAGCTCTGGGAGTGGTAGGAGGTCAACTCCAACGCCAGATTGCCCAGCTTCAAATCCTGGTTGGGCCATGGGCTAGCTGTGTGCCCTTGGGCAAGTACTTAACCTTTCTGTGTCTCATTTGTCCTAACTATAAAATGGGGATGGAAAAACAGTACCTACTTTGTAGGGTGGTTGTAAAAGTCACAGTGAATTGGTCTTTGTAAGGTGTTTGGAACAGCATCGGACACACATCTAAGCACTAGAGTGTGTCTGATAAGTCAGATACAGGAAGTGCAGGTCCAAAAGTCCCGAACAGACATCCATGGATTATTGACAGCTGGAGCCTCTAGATACAATGTTGCTGAATTCCCCATTTTCTTGAACCAAAAATGACCAAGACTTCCTCATTCCAAACCAGACTATGACATCCTCAAAGCCACCGTTGAGCCAATGACTGGACAATTAGAATAAAGTCAGGGTCAAGGGGGTCTTGGGTTTTCTAACGTCAACCCTCCCACCTTGTTCTGGAAACATCTTTTCCTTTCCCCGCGTTGCTATGAGGAGCAGCCACAAACTGAGTGGCCTAAACAGCAATTCCTCACCTTGCCATCCTGCAGGGCACAAGGCAGCTCAGCCTCCAGGGCTATTCCCAAGGCAGGACGGTATTCCTGCAGATACGCCGGCCTTGGGTCCTCAGCGTCCCCTTCCGGGGCTCCTGGAGCTGGTCTGGAGCCTCTGTGTGCATCTGTGGAGCCGCAGGCTTGATCTCCCGGGGCCTTCCTGTACTCACCTCCACCCAGCATGGACTCCCTTCTGCCTTCCTCTGACCATTTCTCTTTTTGGTGGTGCTGGGGGTTAAACCCAGGGCCTCAGGCATGCCAAGCAAGCACTTCACCCCAGAGCTGCGCCCAGCCTCTTTATTTTGAGACGACTTCTTGCTAAGTTGCGCAGGCTGATCTGGAACTTGCAGTCCCCCTGCCTCAGCCTCCCAAGTGCCTGCTCCACTGCCCCAGCTCCCCACCACTCTTAAGGGTCCTGTGATTGCACTGGGTCCATTCAGTGGGGCATGCTGGGGTCAGCCGATCAATTCCATCTCCAAATTCCCTGCTGCCTTGTAAGGGAAAATATTTGCAGGTCCCAGATTACGGCCCTGGAGGACTGGGGTGTCTTTGAGGGGTCCTGTGGGGTTGACTTTGGACATTATTTCCTCCAATTTCTCTGGTTGCCTGACACCCCGGAGCTGGCAGAGTCAGAGCCAGTGTTCTGGACCACATCCTGAGCTCTGCTCAACGGAAAAGAGCCTGTCAGCTTGCTCCTGTCACACGGGAGCCTCGGGGGCCGGCCCAGTGTCCTCATCTCCAGGACAGGGCCAGGGAGATCTGTCTGCGAGCGTCTCCCCCAGCACACCTGGCCCATGTGGAGGGGACAAGGTGTTTCATGTTTCCCTCCTGCTCTCTTCCATCCCAGCAGGATGTGGCGAGAGGCCCACTTTCGAGGACCGGAAGATGCGGCATTCCAGAATCGTCGGGGGGCTGGAGGCTGAGGTGGGTGAGTTTCCGTGGCAGGTGAGTATCCAGGCAACCAATCAACATTTCTGTGGCGGCACCATCCTCAACTCGTGGTGGATCCTCACAGCTGCTCACTGCGTGATCGGCGAGTTACCGTAAGTACCCAGGGCCAGCCCCGGGCAGCCGCACGCGTGGCCAGACCTGACGGTGAAGGGGTCCTGGCACCGTTGTATCCTGATGCAGACATGAATGACCTCCCTCCAGCCTGTGGGCACTGCACAGTGGACCCCAAGCTGTGCCAGGGCCAGTGGCTCTGTGCTGCAAAGTCACACGCTGTCCTTTCCAGGCACACCTGTGGCCTAAGGAGCCGGAGCGCTCAGTCCATCCACCTGTCCTAGGACATCCAAGTGCTTCTTGGAAGTCCTGGACGTCTGGTCTCTGGCCACCTGAGTGCCTCCTTCCTGCTCCTTGTAGGGTGCTCTCTGCTCAGCTGACGGTTGACTGCTGGCATTTCCTGATCATGAACCATGCTCCGGGACCCCATTAAGACTTTACCTGTATTAAATTACTTACCTGTACAATGACCCTCTGAGGCAGGCAGAATATTTTCTAGATAAGGAAACTGAGGTCCAATAAAGCTATGTGACCCCGCCAGGGACCACAGCTCACAGTGGAAGGCAGTCCTGAATGCTCCGGCACTTGGGCACCCTGCTTCACCACCTCAAGAGCTTTGGAAGGAACCCAGAAAGGCTGACGGATCTGGGTAAACCCCGTGAAGCCGCGTGCAACGTTTCCTCTGGGCAAAGCCGAGTACACTGCGGCACCTGCTCTTGGGGGGCACTTCAGAGCTGGCCACCAGAAAGTTCTTGGCCATCTGCTGGAAGGGCCCTGCCTGCTGTCTGATTACCCGGGGACTTTTCTGCTCGGCCAGTGGAAGGTCAAATTAAACTCACTCCTAAGTCTCTGAATGGTTGTTGGAACCACTGCCGTGAGCAGAATGTGCAGTCATTGGCACATGTCACCAGGCCTTACCTGTCTGAAGACTGGCTTGGCCTGGGCCAACTAGTCCTTTGTGGGCTCTTTAGAGTGCTCCAAACTGAGCCCTGCCTCTGCTCTGTTGCATGCAAGGGTCACATTCAACTTCAGGACCCCTGAGGACTGGCTGGGGTCTGTTCCCTGACGGTTCTGTCCTCTCTTTAGTTTCTAAGTCCTCAAACTTTCTGAGCAACAAAAGGACCATCTTAAAGGCCCCCAAAACTCTATGAGGACTGGTATTTGGGGCCCAGTGAGCTCTGTGTGCTTTTGTGACCCTCCTTCCCCTGCCCTCTCTGGTTGTATGTCACCAGCACAGAGGAACTGAGTGTTGTGCTGGGGACCAACGACTTGACCAGCCCACGTCTGGAAATAAAGCCGGTCAGCAGCATAGTTTATCACAATAAATTTAAGAGAGAAAGCATGGACAACGACATCGCCTTGCTGATGGTGGCCTCGCCCATCGAGTTCAATAGCCTGACAGTGCCCATCTGCATGCCCCCAGAGCCCATGCCTTCCAAGTGGCACAAGTGCTGGGTGGCAGGGTGGGGCCAGACCACTTCAGGTGCGTGACTGCCTGGCGTCCTGGAGAGCTGCTCAGGCCAGGACCCCACGGGGAGGCGGGAGGAGGGCAGGGACCGAGGAAGGAGAGCAGAGAAGGGCACACGGCATGAGGAACGCTGGGTGAGGGGAGGAATCATGAGATGCATGTGTGGTCAGCGTGAAGGAGAAGGGGCTCAGGAAACCTGGAGGCCCGGGGCTCAAGCGCCCTCTAGACCCTCTGAAGACTTAGCGCCTCTCCACGCCTGAGGCCTAATGCTTCTTTATGGGGTGCAAATTGCCGTCCGTGGCCCTGTGGGAGGAAAGCGCTGTGCCCACGTGACAAACTGGTAACAGGACAGCAAGTGGAGGAGGCAGGACCATGCTGGGCTGTCCACTGGCCCATTCCCCAGATGTCGAGCTCGCAGGCTGGCTGGAGCAGGGCTAGAAGTTTGGCCATCAGATGAATGATCCCAGCAGGTGGTGGTCTCTTGGGAGAGCTTGGGCAGGATCCCCTTTGGGCACAGATGACCTGAAGAAGGTGGATGGCCAGGGCACGAGCAGCATGCGGGATGGTGGGCGGGGCTGGCGGTCTCTAGGGCACCGCCGGCCGTGGCAACGTCTGCTGCCTGGTGACTTTTCTAACATGCTCTCTCCCTGGGCAGCTGACAAAGGGTCTATGAAAACCGATCTGTTGAAAGCGCCAATGGTCATCATAGATTGGAATGAATGCGCAAAAACGTTTACAAAACTTACCAAAAATATGCTGTGCGCAGGATTCATGAACGAGAGCTACGATGCCTGCCAGGTAACCGAGGCCCCGCCTCCTCCACTTACAGGCCCCCTCCCCGGGGGGCTGCCATGCAAGGGTACCCTCTCTCTGCTGGGAAGAGACAGCTGAGGGTCTGGGAAATGCGTGGGGGTCAGGGCCTTTGGCTGTGCGAGTGCAGACATGGAATGGACGCTAGGTACCTGGGACCCCAAGGCTTCCACTTGTAGAAATTCCTAAAAAGACAAAGTCAAGGAGAATTTGAGGCCCATACCAGGAGTCATCATCAATCATCATTTAGCAACCCCTACCGAGCACGCCAGGCCCTGGTGGCTGGAATGAGGTGTGGCCCTGTCCCTAGCCTCTTGGGCAGACAGTTGGGTAATAAGCAATAAGTAATAGAGTGGATGATGCAGATTTCTTTACCGTGAACCAAAGTCTGATTTCTTAGGTTCTCTTTAATAAAACAGACATGAAACTTTTAAAAGAAAAACACATTTGATTGACGTTGATGTTGAGGATAATGAAAAATGGAAAACAAAAACAAAACATTCAGAGCATGGCACCCTCTGGCTCCAAGGAGTGACAGGAGTTGTGTTTAAAGCTCAAAGACCCTCTATTTGTCCATTAAGGCCCACCTGCAAGCCGGGTGCTGGCTTTGGTCTGGGTGCAAATCTCCAGGTGCAGATGTAACCCCTCCAAGCAGTGAAGGACAGACAGACAGCCTGTGGAAAGACAGCCTTCTCTAGTGTTGCTTGGTAACAGAGGAGACTGGTAGTTTCCCCAGGTAGACCACGAGATGGCACCTTGGGAAGGGCCTGCTGGGTCAGGGTTTGGGCAGGCAGAAGAGGAAGGAGCAAGGCCTCTGAGCTCAGCAGAGGTGGAGGCCAGCAGCGTGTGCCAGGCAGAGGAGACTCCACCAGCAGAGGACCAAAGGGACAGCCAAGGGACAGCCAGACTGAAGGCCTAGTGCGCCCTGTTCCCTTCCGGTCCTGGACGATGTACAAGATCACCAAACCTAACAGGTCAAAGGACCGGGACCAGACACAGTGGAGCAAGTAACCTCCTTCGATCCCGCCCACTAAGTCCAGCGGACAGCTAGTGTTGGTGGCTGCAAGGCGGGGCTGGCTGTGGGAGGGGCAGTAGTGGGTGCAGCTACCGAGAGCAGAAGAAGCCTCCTCAGCACAGAGAAGTCCTGCCTCTTGACGGTACCCATCAGGCTCTACCGCTTTGCCAGATAGCACTGGGGAAACTGAGGGGTCGGGGAATCTCTGCATGACTTCTTGCAATAAAGTCTTCAATTATCTCAAAACGCTCAACTTTTAAAAATAATTTTAAAGTGGCACAATCAAGCAAAATATAAACTGGAACTTCTCCCCAGCTCAGAAGATGAAGCGCCGGTGGCGTCTCCTGGGCAGCAGCCATCCTGGTGAGCCCAGCTCTGGGCTCCTGCCCGCTCCCCGCCCCGCACACACCTGTCTATTCAGGGCGAATTCCCAGGGCCGCGCCCCGTGCTCTGCCCATGACAAATGCCCAAGAAATGTTTGTCAGATAGGCCCAGCTGCCGGCCAGTGCTGTCGGCTGGCAGAACCGTCAGTCAGTCGCCCTGAGGAGAGGTCCCCTGGGGAGCCCGAAGGGCCCTGGAGTCTGCCGGTGGAGGAGGGGTCCGAGCTGGCAGCGCTGGGCGTGGGCCCGTCTGGTTGTGGGGCTGCCGGGGACCCCGGCTGAGAGATGGGCTGCTCTCCAGGCTGCGTCCCACCTCGTCCCTCACTCTACAGGCGCTCAGGCCTTCAGAACCACAGGCGTTTGGAGCCGAGAAGGAGTTAACCAGAAGGCTGTTTTACAGATGAGAAAACGCCATTTTACAGATCACTCCTGACTCCCTTGACCACCTGGACAGACCTGCGGTCACTTAAAGCTCGTCGGCACCTTAGCAGCAATTGCATCTTCCCTGGGCTCTGTGAGGTGGCTGGAAGGTGAAAGAACAGGGATTCAGAATCTAAGTGGTTTTCCCAAAGTCCGACATCAGTGAAGAGGCCAGGCCTGCAGCCTGGCCACCTGCTTCTACGCCAAACAGGACAGCAGTGGGACCTTCACCTCCTGGTGGCACACTCGGGAAGCTCTGGGCCAGCGTTTCTCAGCAGAGACCCCGGCTACAGGCTGAGCCCTGCAGGAAGGCCCCTCTCGGTGGCTCCTCTGGTGCTGCTTGCTTCCCGAGAGGAAGAGAAAAAACCACATAGAAGGACGTCCACTTACAGATGCCCCTGGGCCCAGCCACCAGGAAGGGACAACTGTTCCCTGAAGGCAGCTGGTGGGCAACGCACAGAGCAAGAGGCTCGCCCCAGCGATTCACAGGTTTTTGCAGTTCACGGGCCACCGTCCTAGAGAGCAGGCGGGCGTCTCTCCGTTCCTACAAGATGATGGACGTGGAAGCTCAAGAGTGAAGCTTCCTGCCCAGGACACCCTCATCCTGTTGTGTAAGGAAATAAGTAATCCACAACATCGCTCCACCGGCATCCTTCATAAAGAAGATCACTTAAGACAACATTTGCAGAAGGAGCGATTGGAATAGAAGCTGTTGAGCGGGTTCTGCCCTGTAACTCACCAGCCAGCACGGGGCAAGAGGCAGGTGCCAGGGGGACACTCTGTCCTGGAGAAGGCCACTTGGTTTGGGCCCAAGTTGCTGGCTGTCCTCAGGCAGTCATGACCCCCGACTCTGTGGAGTCACAGTGAGGGGCTGCACGTCCCCTGCCCAGTGAGGCTTCTGCAGCAAGACCAAGTTCCACAGGGACACGTTTACTCCTGACCTTCCCCTGTACATTGTCACCTGCAGCCTCTGACCCTGAATGAGTCACAGCCTATGTCCAGTGTCCTTCTGGGGCCAGACACCTGGTGGTGTCTCCTGCCCGTCCCCCACGTGACCTGCCCTGGTTTGGACCCTCACATTTCACCTCCTCTTACCGCCCTCTGCCTGAGCCCCCTCCAGCCACCCCGCCCAGCCCGTCAAGCCGCTGGGTGTCCTGCGAGTCACCTCTCCCCAGTTGTCCTGCCCTCACCCTCCCAGAGCCAGAGTGCGCCCCTCGGTGCCTGCTCCCTCTTCTGTCTCACGCCACACGAGTCTCCTGCGGGCCCACAAGTGCATCTTCTCTGCTGGGCCCGGAGGTCCCGGACCCCCAGACCAGGCATGTCGCGTTTCCTCCGTGGGGTCTGTCCAGCAGAGGTCAGCCCTCTCGTGGCCCTCGAACTTCCTACTTACAAAAGAGAGGAGGCCGTGGGGCTGACGAGAGGCAGCCACGGAGCCAGGCCACGCGTACAGCTCAGCAGGAGGCTCCTGCCCGGCAGAGTCCACCCCATGCTGCACTGTCCAGCCAGCCCGCAGGACTGAGGCAAGGCCACCGGCAGTGTGTGACAGAAGGATGCAACTGGGAGCCGGGGGCGTTGGCATCAGGAGACCCTGGCTTCCGGCTCTGGCCAGGTGACCCTCAGCAGCGCTGTCTCCTCCTCGAGGCTGGTCCTCCAGGAGAAGGGGTGAGAGGAAGCCACGTGTACACGAGGTTCTCAGTGGGTACCTGGCACACCTGCGGCATGTGTGGGCACGACCACGCGAGTCACAGACCCGCAGCGGGGGCAGCGCATCCAGGGAGACTTAGCTCCTGTGCCCCCCAGCACCACTCCAGAGTGTTCAAGGGAATGCCGTCCTCTCCACAGCTCTGGAGGACGCCAGAGGAGACCACTCGTGGTGCCGCTGACAACGCCTCTCACGCCCACTTCCTATTCTCCCTCTCCAGAGCCTCTGATCTGAGAATCCTCAACGCTGGCCTCCCTCCCCCTCTGCCTCCTTCCCGCCCCTCTCTGGGCGGCAGAGGCGCGCTCCTCGCTCTTCTCACTGACCACTGCGTCCTCCTCCCCGGCTCTGCCCTGCCTGGCCATGCATGCCTCTCCCCACTGCTCCTGGCCAACCGCAGGGCGCCCCCAGGGGAGCATGGATGGAATTCCTTTGGCAGCCCCGAGTCGGGGGCCAGGGAAGCCCCTTCCCTTGAACAAGCTGAGCCCAGCCTCAGTGGGCAGCTTAGAACAGGACCCGCCGTGAACTCTGTTCTCTGCCTGCAGGGCGACAGCGGGGGGCCCCTGGTCTGCACGACAGAAGGAAGCAAGAAGTGGTACCAGGTGGGCATCATCAGCTGGGGCAGGAGCTGTGGGCAGAAGAACACCCCGGGAATATACACCTCGCTGGCCAACTACCAGCCCTGGATCAGGAACGTCACCCAGGTGGAGGGGAGGCCCCTTGACACGGAGCACACGCGGTCCACCCTGAAACACAAGTCGAGGGACTCCAGGTCCTCGGGGTGCTCCGAGCTGGGCAGCCCCAGGTGCTGGCTCCTGCGGGGGCTTCTGTCCTGCCTCTGGCTCAGGGCCGTTTTCAACGGGTAATAAAAGTACTTAACCAAAGGTGGCTGTGACCGGGAGGGACCACGCGGGTCGGTGGAGGAGAAGGCGAGGAACCGGCGCCCAGGGAGTCAGCCCAAACCAGGCTGGGCCGGGTTCCGGGTGGGATTCGGGTCTCTGTTATCAGAACCCCCTTCATCCCTGGTGACCATTACCCAATTCAGACTGGCTGAACCCAAACAGAGGGTGTGAGTGTGAGTGTGAGTGTGAGTGTGAACAACACAAACATGGGGTGGTGTGAAGATGCAGGCGTGCCTGACCTCCTGGCTGAACGGAAGTTTCCAGGGACAGTGGTGGCGTGGCCATGTCCCCCAGGCAGGGCTGCTAAGTGTGGCCAGGAGGCCCCCCGCACCTGCACTTGGCCTCCCCCAGTGTAAGTGACTCCCGGACTCCAGCGCCTGGTGATGACCCTCTCTCCTCAGCCCTTTGACACTCAGGTCACTAAAGGCCCAAAGTGGCCCTCTCCTAGGCTAGGCCAAGCTCCACGCCCACCCGGGGCCCAACAAGGACCAGCCTCCAGAATCACGTGAACAGACACCAGTGACAAGCTGGTCCTCAGCTGGCACTCAGAGTGCTGTGGACAGTCAGGGCAGCGGCCACTGGGCTGTCCGTGAACATGCTGGCCACTGGTGGTCTCTGGCCTGTCCAGCTGGTGTGCATGAACAGCCACGTCCCAAGTCCTCAGGAGCTGCTGTGACACTGACATCTGGGCTTGCTGCTCCCGGGCCACTGGAGGAGTAGGAAGCGTTTGTTTGATCATCCTCCCCACGGTCCGTTCCTGGAGGCCAGTCGCCCTGCCGTGGGTCGAGGAAAAGCTTCACCTAAAGCTTTGCATTCCCTGATGTCACTGCATCTGTGCTGGGGACCCAGGAAATCCAGGCCCGGAGGAAAGAGGCCCCTGGCCAGTCAGGTCCCAGTCTCCATGAGCAGAGTGTGAGGACATCGAATACCATGTGAAGGGTGCCCAGGGAGTGAGGATTGATTTGCTGTCCACTTAGAGGGTCTTTAGATGGGATTAACGTTTCACTCTGAGTAAGTGGACCTCCTTCTATAACGAGGGTGGGCCTCATCCAATCAGCGGAACATCCAAATAGAAGAAAAAGTTCTGCCTCCCAGAGCAATTGGTCTCCTCAGCCGGCTGCCTTGGGCTTCCCCCACACCGCCACGGGGAACCAACAGCTCACATTCGTCCCTCTCTCGACATACACACAGCCCAGTAGTTCTGCTGCTCTGGAGAAGCTGACTGACAGGGGAGACGTGTCCTCGGCACAGCCACAAGGCCACCGAGGCAACCACGGGGACCACGTGGCCCTTGCACACAACCAAGAGAACCATGGAGGCCACGTGGCCCTTCCACACTCACAGCCACGGGGCTGCCAGGACGACCAGGGAGCCAGGTGGCCCTTGCACATTAATCACCCTCCTGCCAATAGATTGTCCACGCTGTGGCTCGAGGTCCTCGTGTCTGTCCCTGGTTTGGGCACATGGTCATCAGGTATGTCCTGTCGGTTTTCCTGGCTAGAGTAGCAGCCCCTACCCTGTGTACCTCTACAGACACCCGCGTGACGATGGATGCACAGGGACCTCTGTTGGACGTGAGGGGAGCCACCATACATATGGGACTTCCAGCACCTACCACGGTTACGTTGTTTGGCCCAACAACTCAATAAATGCAACCTTTCGGGATTTCTTTTGGTCTAGGAACCCAGAGTGCTTGCCTAGCAAGGACTCAATTCCCAGCACCACACACGCGTGCACACACACACACGCACACACACACGTCTGAAATGTTAAGGGTCCATGAACTGGGCAAGTCTAGGAGGCTCCGACATCATGGAAAACTGCTGGTGTTGATGTT